CCAGAAATGGGCTTAACACATTGTACCCATGTGGGGAATCGAACCCGGGTCTTCGGCGTGACGAGCCAACGCTTTAACCACTAGGCTACCCCACCGCCCCTGTCATCATTAGATGTCAAGAAATCCGCCACAGTCGGTTACGACGTCGTAAGACATATACATTAAGTACAGGGCTCCGTTTCACAAAGCTATCGTAGCAGTACGACTGTCGTGAGTGTGTTTTTACAGTATAGCAGGTACGACAGTCGTAGCGCTACGATAGCTCTGTGAAACGGGAGGGAAGTAATTTCCAACGTCGTAAATAAACCGTTGGCACTAACCAGTGTAAGCCATCCTTGATCAACATGGTCTATAAAATGCGTCATATAGATGTTAATAGTCTGTCGTACAGACCCTGAAGCAAATATATCCAAGAAAGCCCACGCAAGTCTAGAAAATGTGGCAAGTCTAGATTTCCTCAGCTTCAGGGTCTGTACCAATCTGCTGAATTCACAAGCCAGAATATGGCTTGTAATTATCAGTTGATCTCTAGCTGTCACTAGTGTTTAATATTAACTCATGGGGAGCCTCCCCCACCACTCCCCAAGACACCACACTGAGCTAAGACCTCCTGCTTCTGCCTGTCCTCTCACTCCAGACAAACAACATGTGTGATTACACTAGAGACTTGATGACTTATAAAATCTGAGTATTTTCTTTAACTGTTTCATTAAACAGGCCACCTGATTTTCATTATCATAATATTAACTTGAGTACATTGTGTAATCTCACTGTTGTGTCCTCTGTGAAATAAGGCCACGTTTGTTCACCCAAGCATTCTTCCTCTTTTGGATAGCCACAGCACTGGAAGGTTCAACGTTTCAAACAAGACACTGTAGAACAAATCAGAATATATTAAGGCCACGTTTTAGCTGATAACTTACTCCACATCTGCGGTTCAGTAGACGTTGGTTCTTAATGTTACGAGCTGTCTTACCTATTTAGTTATATATAGTAGTAGTGTGACGACCGGGCACCTGACTTACACACACGAGATGATCAACACGGCGAATCAAGACCCCAGGGTTGCGATGACAGACCCTCGTCATAAACGTTCATACTGGACAAGCGATCAAAATGTCGGTGATCATTAACGAAGCTGCTATCGTGAATCACGATATCAGAATATTGTTTCCATGTTTAGGAATAACTAAGCTGATGTATTTTGTGTGTTTCTGATGCCGACGTTTATACATTTTATGTATTAAATAATTTGGATACGTGAGACACGATAGTTGTAGCATTAATGTCGCTTTGGCAAACTGCAATGTACCAGCTGCCGTCAAAGGATGTTTCTTTGTTTGTCTATTTGTTGCTTAACACTCCACTCAGCAATATTCCTGCTATATGGCGGCGGTCTGTAAACAATCGAGGCTGGACCAGACAATCCAATGAGCAACATCGTGAGCATCGATCTACAGAGTTGGGATACGATGACATGTGCCAACCAAGTCTGCAAGCCTGACCACCCGATCCCGTTAGTCGACTTTTATGAAAAGCATTGGTTACGGAAAACCAGTTCTAGCCCGGATTAAATAGAACCGCCCAGCTATGTATGGTTTACATTTTTTTCTTAACACAGATGAGTGAATGCTTTGGCTTGTATTGCAGTGGTTGAGCTTAATAATGTGTTAGAAGTTTCTGTAAGATCTAAATCCCGAGATCTGCTCCGTCGCATATTCTGTTAAGGAGGGACTGTATTCAGATGTAACCTGAACAAGAAATGCCATTAATGTCAAGATCGTTTCACATTTCAATAGAGTTACTGGCTTTAGCGGATACTATACAAGCGGGAAAAAATAACTATGGTTATAAAGCGTCGTAAATGTTATGTTATCACAGTAGCAACATAATTAGTTCGCCTGATCAATGTTTTATCTAAATCAAATGCATTCGAATACGAAACCTGCCAGGGTTACAGGGGACATAGCGACTGTCCCAAAATAGGGGTGGTGAACAGAGCTCCAGGTAACTGTTTGGGTCATTGAGTTATGTATTCGTTTTGGTCATTTGAGTAACCAAATGAATTGTACCCACCTCACTCAACCTCAGTTGGGTATTTTGCCATTTTTAATTAATTGTAAACATATAATAAAGTTTAAATGTTATTTATATTGGATCTGTAATATGAGAAACCATATGAAAGACTGCAAGTTGCCAAGTTCATGTGTTGAAATAGAACCTCTGAATATTCCTGTTATTTTATCTATGCACCAGTGCGCAAGCTATGATTCGACATTTTTGTGTGTACGCATGTAAGATCAAATTTATTGAGTATTTACAAAAAGTCAAGCGTACTTGTACGCAACAGACTTAATAAGAATAGAGTTTTCACATAAATATTTGCGAATTTACGCAGATATGTAACTTATCTGTACCTCTGGGTGAAACAGTCCAATTAACTTTCAATTTGTCAATATCAGATGTGACTATGTGAGTTGATACAGACGAAGCAGCGGCGGTGAATTGAAGACACCAGATGATTGAAAACAGAACACAGGATGTTGTTCCAAATGTCATGCAATATGACGTTACGTTAATGAAATTGCACAATTATGATCTCGAATGATGTCGTCACAAGAGCGTAGGCGATTCCAAATGGCATGAATAATGGTGAGCTGCCATGCCGCCTCACGCCATTAAGCTTCCAGTCCCTTCCAACTGACGAGGGTCGGTGTGGTAGCCTAGTGGTTAAAGCCTCCGCTCGTCACGCCGAAGGCTCGCGTTCGATTCCCTGGGTACAATGTGTGAAGCCCATTTCTGGTGACCCCCGCCGTGATATTGTTGGAATGTTGCCAAAAGCGACGTAAAACCATACTCACTCACTCCAACTAACGACGTTGAATAACACGTCACGGAAACGTTTTCTTGGACTGGACTCTGTAAACAGTACACCGTTCCAGTCTCGTCTTCGGTCGTGGCCAAAGGCTTCCCGTGGGCAGGCTAGACACATATGATTATGGGTTCGAATCCCAGGTAACCCCGGTTTTGATGCAAAGTTTGTTAGCACCATACCCCAAACCACGGAGACCTTCGTCCATTTGAGGGGCGTCACGCCGAAGACCTGGGTTCGATTCCCCACATGGGTACAATGTGTGAAACCCGTTTCTGGCGTCCCCCGCCGTGATATCGATGTTGCTGGAATACTGCCAAAAGCGGTGTAAAACAATACTCACTCACTCCCCCACCCATCCTTTTGGACTTTTATCCCGCATTAAGCTGACACGCCATATTATATCTACAGTACTGTTGAAATCACCTACTCAATCCGATTGCGCCAGTCATGTTTGCAGCATAGTATACCCGTAGACGTTGATTTTAAGCAAGCTTAGGCATTGCGTGTCCGTTACTGACGGTTAAACAAAAGTGTCTTCAATTACGGAAGCTAAACAATCCTAGTTTAGAGTTTATAGGAAAACACGACGTGCATGTGCATCACACGCCCTGCAAACAGGCAAACACTCAATCTACATTAACACGCAGCTGCAAATTGTGAACCACAGCCATAAAGTAGTGAAGATGCCTTCATAATGTATATACTGAAAGATGCATTATGTGATTTAAGAATATTTTTAATGAACTTTATATGTAATACAGTTACTCTTTTTCCTTAACATATACTGGACAAAATAGTTTGGGATATATGAAAATTTGGAAATTATGAATAAAGATGTATTCATTCATTGACACACTGATAAAATATCATTAATAAAAAAACCAATATCCCTACCTTATTTTGTCCAGTATACATCACTTTAATGTGGTTGAAGGTTCGAATCGGGTCGGAAATCAAGGAGCACAGGTGCAGTGTTGAAAAACCTTGATTAAGATGCTGATGAACCTGAAGACGCAACTCCCAACAATTATTAACAGGGCTTGAGACAGCTGGATCGTGTGTTATCGTATACGTGTTTAGCCTGAGCAGAGTTTCATATGGGCATTGTGTTATTCTATTTCAGTGTCTCATGTGTACAAGGGTCATGCGTACACGCTTACGTAATTATCCTACACTGTTGGTGGTTTTATTTGTCCACATAACCAGCTGTCACTGATATCGATTCCGTGTTTAGTTGTATGTGACTAAACGAGTGTGCAACTTTGCTGTCTTCTTGTTACTAATAACAAGTGTGGAATGTTTTCATGAAACGTTTACAGCAGTATCTTCAGTTACATTTCAGAAGGCTTTGTTCAAGTTAAGTAAAGACACATGAGTGAGCGAGTGAGTTTAGTTTTACGCCGTGCTCAGCAATATTCCAGCTATATGTCGGCAGTCTGTAAATATCGAGTCTGGACCAGACAATCCAATGATCAACAGCATGAACATTGATCTGCGCAATTGGGATACGATGACATGTGTCAATCATGCCAGCGAAACCTGACCACCCGATCAAGTCATTATTCTATTTGGTCATAAAATGCGTGAACAGAAATCAGTATACAATTTTTATGAATACTAAAAAACCTGTAGACTAGTTCTAGTTAAATCGACTGAAACCAACTGTTGCATGTACTGTGAATACATATTGAATGCTAGAATGCTAACTCCGAAAACTGTAATAAACATTAAGTGTAGGCACTAAAGTGCCTAATGGCAGGTTCGCTTCTGGTAATACAGTTAACTAAGGTTGTTACGAACCATTAATTTTATTTCTTTATACCCCTAGTTCGTTATACTCAGTTCGACCAAACTAAACGGCAAATGGCAGGAGTGAGTGAGTATGGTTCTACGCCGCTTTTAGCAATGTTCCAGCAATATCACGGCGGGGACATGGGCTTCACACATTGTACCCATGTGGGGAATGGAACCCGGGTCTTTGGCGTGACGAGCGAACGCTTTAACCACTAGGCCACCCCTCCGCCCCCTGTTCGGTACAGACGTAGTTGAGTGTACTCCAGACCTTTACCAGATTGAATGACAGATTTTGATGCAACTGAACAATGCAGCGCTGAACAACCCAGGCACTTTATTGTATGATCGATCGCCAGTATTTGCACAACCTTCACAGCAACACAATTAGCCTGTTCTTGCAGCAGTTGATTTACGCGGAAACATTTGTTAAGCAAAATCTCCATCTCGTTCGTCCATGATGTCTGAGCGACGCTATGGCTACTTTCGTTGTCCAAAGTGCGGCGCCCACTGGGAGAGTTCCCATGTCTACTGTCACGGTTCCAAGGTACGCTGTTAGCGGTTTTTCAGTCTTTATTGCAAACCCCAGACCTTCATAATCTACTAATTTTTAAAATTTCAAACCGAACCCTTCTCAGCTCCAGCAGTCAATAGATTTCGGATATGAATTTCAGAGACTCGATAGTTTCCCTATAGAAATACATGTAGTTGTAATGAACTGTTTACATAACGTTATTTCAGCGTTAGTATGTTCGTCCAGATCTTGGTTTATAACTGAGTTAAAGTGGCATAGCCCAGTACTTAAAGCGTCCAGTGGTCCAGCACCCAGTGCGCTCGACTCCCTGCACGGCTTCTGAGTATAAAGTGTGTGATCCTTTGCGTCAAAAGCTTGGTTGCTTCAGCGTTAGTATGTTAGTCTAGATATAGGTTTATAGTTGAGTTAAAGTTGGGGCTGGCATCGCCCAGGGCGTAGATTTCGAAGCTCTCTTGGCGCTAAGACGGTCGTAAACGCCATACATTAACATTAACTTACGACTATCTTAGCGCTAAGAGAGCTTCGAAAATCTAGGCTCTGTACTCATAGCGTCCAGTGGTCCGGGCGAGCGTTCGACTCCGTACGACGAGGACAGTGTTGTGCTCTTTGCTACATTTAGACGCTTTTCGGATCAGTGGTTTTCTGGAATTTTCTAGAAGGGCATAGATTAATCTTTCAAAGTGTAAATAATTTTGGAAGCATTTTGAGACTATATAATGGACAGGCGCATGCCTCCATAATCTCACACAGCACCAAGGTGAACTCCCAAACATTTTAGCAGGTATCAATTGTATCTTAGACGTTTATCAGAATGAGATCAATGTCATGTGTGGGTATTTCTTAATGATACAGACATTACAGACAAATGTGAAATATGGAAAAAAGTGGTGCTTTATTGTATTAAATGTATGTATTTTCAGATGGTGCTTTACTCTATTAAATGTATGTATAACAGTGAATGAGTTTAATGTTATGCCGCTTTCAGCATTATTCCAGCAAAATCAGTGCACACAACAAATGGGCTTAACTCTTTTTGTCCCATGTGGGTGTCAAAACCAGCGTGACAAGCAAACTCTATGACCATTAGGCTTCCCATTGTGACTTTCATTTGAAATAGAGTGTGTACATGATGTAAATCTGTGTGTATCTCTACAGGCTGTTTACGGACAAGAATGCAAGAGGTGTGGAACTAACTGCCTCCCATTCAAGGTAGAGCCTATCGTCTGCTCCCAGTGCAGACAACATGCATATGCACCAGAGAAGACCGAAAGAAGAGGAATGTTAACCCCTCCAAACCTCATAGGTCTGAACTCTGCGAGAAGTGCAAGTCAGGAATAAAATGTCAATGGTGATATTTCAGCCTTGACACTTGACAGCCTGTAGCACCAGACACGCTTACTTTCCTTAAAGATTCCATTTTCTGTGATGACGAACGTTTTGGATAATTGTAAGAACTGTAATTAGAAATGTATTAAACCTTATCGCCCACCCTATGAGCTTCTTTGTGTGGTTTTATATGCGTGTACATATGTACACAAGGCGATACCGTGCCAGCTGTAGTCACATTGTATAAAATTATATTCATTGTTGCTGGCTGGTTGGATGTTATTTAACGTCGCACTCAGCAATATTCCAGCTATATGGCGGTGGTCTGTAAAAATCGAGTCTGGACCAGACAATCCAGTGATGAAGAACATGAGCATCGATCTACGCAATTGGGATACGGTGAGAAGTCAGCGAACATGACCATCCGATCCCGTTAGCGCCTTTTACTACAAGCATGGGTTGCTGGACCGAGTCTAACCCGGATCTTCACGACTAGATTGTAGCAGCATTATCGGGGACACGGGGACTTCACACATCGTATTCATCAGGAGAATGAAACCCGGTACATTTGCGTGACGATAGATAAATAAAATCTACAGACGTCCTTTTCACTGACTTTTAAAAATGTAGTCCATGAAACGAACATTTTTAACTAAATCTTCATAAAATATAACAGGGGCCCAGAGACTTTCAGATAAATCTCCATTTTCTGAAACTGCAGTAATGTAGACTTACCACCTGTTCTTGACTTGCATGGCTAACCACAAAGCAATACAAAATACACGAATACTCACTCTGACTTAGCTACTTAGAACAGTCATATAGTAATTCATACAGTCATAACGACTACCTTATGTAGTCACTGAATTTGTCTTGAAGGTTTTGGATCACTATGAGTGAGTGAGTTGGGTTTTACGCCACTCAGAAATATTCCAGCAATATCATGGCGGGGGACACCGAAAATGGGCTTCACACATTGTACCCATTTGGGGAATCGAACCCTGGTCAACGCTTTAACCACTAGACTGCCCCACCGCCCCGGATCACTAAGGCTTACGCCACAGGATTATAAAATCCCATTTAACATTTGGCAGGTTTCCAGGGAGTAGAGTTTCTGTTCAGTGATGCGTTTTTTTCTTCATTTTCCTACTTCTACTTTCGTTTTCCATATTTGTCCTTATGTGTATGGGTGTAAACTAACTCCATATTTGCATTCCTGGAATACAACAATGTCAGGGTGTCCTGTAAACAGAGACTGCTTGCGTTCTGTGAGGCGAAGTCGACATGATGATAGACCCTTACTAAGTTACTACCTACGCTTCATGAACAGCGTTTAATTATACTGTTAACAGGAAGTGAGGGATATTCAATGACAAGGTGTCACAACTAGTTGATATCTTATATACGTAGAGAAACAAATAAAGGAACACAGGAAAATTCAAGCGTTCCTTTATTATTTTCAAGTTTTCATCACCACAGCGCTATTAAAAGATGGTGATGAAAACTGGAAAATATTAAAGGAACACTTGAATTTTCCTGTGTTCCTTTATTTTGTTCTCTACGTATATCGTTGATAAGATACCAGTGTAACAGTGACATCTAAGATTTGCATTAGTCGTTGAACAAGGTACAATGTGTGACCCCCTGGAATATTGCTAAAAGCGGGGTAAAACCAAACTCACTCACTCAAATGAACATAGAATTGTTTTGTTAGATGACTGAGTGAGTATGGTTTTTCACGCCGCTTTTAGCAATATTCCAGTAATATCGCGGCGGGGGACACCAAAAATGGGCTTCACAAATTGTACCCATGTGGGAAATCGAACCCGGGTTTTACGAGCAAACGCTTTAACCACTAGGCTACCCCACCGCCTCTGTTAGATGATTGTCCAAAGCGCCCTACTTATACGATGAAAAGTCAAACTCATTAATATCGCGTAAGTCCTACTTCTATTTTAAGATCCTGTCGGATTCGACCAGGCATACCCTAACCTCCCGTGTCAACTTGGTTCATTCCATTACATACTTCCTGCAGGGCAGCTCTTGGATGGTTGAGAGAGTGGTCGATGGTCGTTGACGGTGACGTTTGCTCCGTCCAAGGACATCCAAGACATGTTCCATAGGAGACTAGTCTGGATTGAGGGAAACACAAAATGACGTCCATGTCTTCAAATGGCACCACGAGTGTTTGTAGGATGTTGTCACGATAGCCGTAAAGGACCTGTAGTCACTCCCCCCACACCCACACACACACCCCACCCCACACACCTCCATATTATCTCCTGGTTCTGTTTGCAGCGTTAACATCTATATCTACCTTAGTGAAGCATATCGAACACTTACCAAATTCATAGTTCCGTATAACATCATGCTTGTAAGTGAAGGTGCAGTTGGAAGCACTTCATCGTCATAATCAGTTTCTATAGAATACACTCAATTTTGGCCAAACACTGCTTTCTGTCACATTTCCATAGCTAGATTAGGGTTGTATCCAAACTTCGAGAATGTGTCCCTTATATTATAACATAGGATTCCTATATATTCCTATTCTAGGTAAACATGTGTCTTACGTGTGAAAACGCGAGTTTGGCCATTTAATTTTTTTTAACAACATGCGTTGTCAAAGTTTAGTTTGCCCCGTGAAGGCCGCTTTACAGTTAATAACGGTTACAACGAACCATTATTTTCAGTTCGGTATATACACATTGCGACTATACTATATACGGCAAGTGGCATGGATAACATCAATACAACCGTACGTTAAATCTAACAGTTCGGTATACGCATTGCGACTATACTATACACGGCAAGTGGCATGGATAACATCAATACAACCGTACGTTAAATCTAACAGTTCGGTATACGCATTGCGACTATACTATATACGGCAAGTGGCATGGATAACATCAATACAACCGTACGTTAAATCTAACAGTTCGGTATACGCATTGCGACTATACTATACACGGCAAGTGGCATGGATAACATCAATACAACCGTACGTTAAATCTAACAGTTCGGTATACGCATTGCGACTATACTATACACGGCAAGTGGCATGGATAACATCAATACAACCGTACGTTAAATCTAACAGTTCGGTATACGCATTGCGACTATACTATATACGGCAAGTGCCATGGATAACATCAATACAACCGTACGTTAAATCTAACAGTTCGGTATACGCATTGCGACTATACTATACACGGCAAGTGGCATGGATAACATCAATACAACCGTACGTTAAATCTAACAGTTCGGTATACGCATTGCGACTATACTATATACGGCAAGTGGCATGGATAACATCAATACAACCGTACGTTAAATCTAACAGTTCGGTATACGCATTGCGACTATACTATACACGGCAAGTGGCATGGATAACATCAATACAACCGTACGTTAAATCTAACAGTTCGGTATACGCATTGCGACTATACTATATACGGCAAGTGGCATGGATAACATCAATACAACCGTACGTTAAATCTAACAGTTCGGTATACGCATTGCGACTATACTATACACGGCAAGTGGCATGGATAACATCAATACAACCGTACGTTAAATCTAACAGTTCGGTATACGCATTGCGACTAAACTATATACGGCAAGTGGCATGGATAACATCAATACAACCGTACGTTATATCTAACAGTTCGGTATACGCATTGCGACTAAACTATATACGGCAAGTGGCGGTGATAACATAAATACAACCCTACGATATATCCAACAGTTCGATATAAGCGTGTTCGCTACAAACGTAACTGAGTGCAATTCAGATTTTCACCAGATTAAATGGCAGGTCATGGTCCAACTGAACAATGAAGTGCGAAACAGCTCAGTCACCCCTTTATGGTGCAGGGGTGGTGCAGGGGTGGTGCAGGGGTGGGTCCCCACCCCCCTTTGTCCTGAAAGTAGTTTATCAAGACCATTGAAACTCTCGAGAAAATGGGTGAATATGAACTGTGCAAAACCACCACCCCCTTCTGAACTGCGCACACCCACCCCACACTCCAACCCCACCCTTTCTCAATAAGCTGTGTTCGCCCGTGTGTGTAATACAAATCAGGACGCAACATGTGCATTGTATATTCTCTCTTATCAGTAAATGCACTTCCTTACACAAACAGGAATGTCCTGCTTCTGGAGATATTGTTTTACGTGGAAACGTTAGTCGAGTTTTTTTTTTCAAACTTTAGCCAATCAGAATTTTCCAGCTCAACATTTGCTTTGTCTTTCTCAAAGCAACGACACCTTCGTTTTCCACGAACTGATTTTCTTCCCCAATCACAGTTCAGTAAAACGAGTCCACCTGCATCAGTTGCCACATACGTATATCTCACTCTGGGAGACAACATCGGCCTTCAACGATGAATGAGCGACGCTATGGCCACTTTACTTGTCCGACGTGCGGGAAAAGCTGGCAGAGTGCCCATGTCTACTGTGACGATTCCTCGGTAAGTTGTTAGCCGTTGTTTAGTGTATTTCTTGCAAACCCAGACCTTCATATATGATGATTAATGTTTCAACCCAAACCCTTCTCAGCTCCAGCAGCGAATACATTTCGGATATGAACTTCAGAGATTCGATGGCTTCTTTATAGAAATAGTTTTACATAACATTATTTCAACGATTGTAAGTTAGTCTACATCTTGGTTTATAACTGAGTTAAGTCCAGTACTTAAAGGCACGCTATCACTCCACACTTCCCTAAAATCAATATTGCATTTCTCTCATTAATACTAACTATCCGCCCCTAGCGAAGCTACCACATAATTTATTCCTAAAAAAATACGTATTAACATTACAATATGAAAGCAAAAAGTTCGAATGAATGAATGCAACGTTGCATCAAATCGACTCTCGCGCCCTCTACCGGCCGAACATTATTTTACCCCATAGAATTATGTCCCTTGGAGCGCTCTTCACGAATATCCAGAAAAGCAACTTGTGATTGAGACCAGTATAATGCGTCAAAAGCTTGGTTGGTTCTGAACCCCAAATAAACCATGATATATTATCTTATATATACCAGGAACCTCAAATCTTTTCACGTTAGAGCTATACGAGAGCTGTTTGACAAGTTCTGAGCCTCCCACAAAGGGCAAGGTATGATAAGGGTGGTTTTTGGCCCACGAACAGAATTGGCTGAACACATGTTATTTGTTTAGAGACACGATAGCTTTGCATAAAAAAGCTATTTTTTAAATGATCTGAGGCCATAATTTCAATGCAGAGGGGCCCAAAATGGGGTTTATCAGTTCCCATGAAAAATAACAAGAAGTCTGAAATATCAGTGTGCCATAATGACTTATATACAACTATCAGTTTATTTACATACAAATAGTATCAGTTTTACATCAGGTATTCATGATGAAGAAACATGCCAACATCAATCACAAGGTTTTAACTTCAAGGGGCCCAATTAGGGTTGCAATACATTGTGGACAGTAATTCAGTTACTTGCCAATTAATTACAAAACAACTCATTATTCACAATTTTCTTTGCAAATATAAACTGTAGGTCAATTTTACAACATGTACTTATGATAACCAATTATGTCCTACTAAAAGTCACAGGTCTTGACCTCAAAGGGGCCTATTTCAGGTGAAATTACATTCTTGGCACAGCTTGATTTTAACACCATGTAAGTGTTAAAAGTCAGTATTTACAACATTCTTGCAAATATACAGTAAACATCTCATTCACATCATGTTGTTACAATAACCAATCATGTTGCACTAAAATCAGGTCTTGACCTCAAGGGGGCCTATTTCGGGTGAAATTACATTCTTGGCACGGCTTGATTTTGACAGCAAGTAAGTGTTAAAAGTCAGTATTCAAAAATCTTCAAAAAGTAATTATTCACAACTCATTCACTACAAAGATATATAAAACATCCACTTTCACTCTTCATCCACATGGTCATCAATCTCTGAATCAGTTTCTGAATCACTGTCAAAAACTGCAGCATTCAACCATGTATCACTAGAGTTGCTGGAAACAGGCATATTGTCTTGGTGTCTGCCATACCCAGATCTTCTCACAACTGAAAGACGGATGACTTTATATCAAAAGAGAATTCTGTTTTAAAAACTTTGATATTATAAATCTATTCAAGGGTAATATTAATTATTTATTATCAAATGTCAGTAGTCTGGCTTTGAAGGCTTATGCAGATTTAATCACCACTGAGGCATCAGTATTTCTGAAATTCAGTCACATTAAATTAGAAAATTGAAAAAAAAATAATATTGATTATTTTTTAACACACATATTATGCTTACCTTCAACCTCAAGTTTTAAGTTGTCATCTTCATGAAATGACACTCCTGAAATCAGACCAAGCAAATTTCTCTTATCTGAAAACAAATATTTGAAATCATAAAAGAATTATCATTATGTTCAAGAAATTGGTGCTTTCTAATTTTTCTAATGCTAAATATGTCAATAGTATAGTTATATAGGGAAGGGAATTGACCTCCAATAGCATAATCAATTGTTGAGGCCACCTTTTGATCAATTATAGATATAAGATAAAAACAGCTGTTAGGGCACATGAAAACAAAGGTAATCAGTCCTCAGTTTCAATATGACAATTGAAACCAATAGTCATTGATTCTGTAAACATAGTTTTAAGAAGAAATAGTGAACGCATTAATTGATTATGTGTTTTGGTTATCGGTAATTGACTGGCAGCCCACAAAATATCCATAAACTAATTATTTGTTTGATCAGTACACCACTAATTAACAGCTCTGGACAGTTTGTAAATATTTACCATACTAACATTTTGAAACAATGCTTACCTTCGCCAGGTTCTTTATTGTGTGGGAACAAAGGCAACGAGACAGAGTGGAAAAGTCAGTGTCTTCAGGCTTAAACAAGATTTACATGATGTTAATTCAAGTTTGTTTGAATAGTGTAACTTACATTACCAAACTTAAGAAAACATTTTTGATAACATTTGGATTTCATGTGTACAAGTTCAGTTAAACATTGTAAATTGGCTGACCAAACTTTTGAAAAAAACCCATCAGGATTTGAACCTGCATGTCTGATAACAGAAAAAGTCGACAGGCCATCACTGTAACCACTAGGCTACAAATTCTGCTATTACCTCTTGTCAGTTTAAGCTTATATCTTACACCTTGCAACAATGTGTCACTTGACGTCTGCTTGCTTTTCATCATCTGCTAGACCATGATACAATGTTCTTATTCTAACAATATTAAATGTAGCCTAATATATCCTAGAAAACATCAAGGTACATTATTTTGGTTAAAATGTGTATGTTTATACACAGTTACATCCTGTGGAATGCCAGTGTTATTTGACAGTGCCAGTTGACACAGAGGGGTTTGCTAAACAGATGATAGAACAAATATGATAAAATTCTAGCATAATTACAAAGATTCTCACCTTTAGAATGCTGCCTGATCATATTTTGAAAAATCTTCTCATGTCTTCTTTCTTTTCCAGCAGAGATCAACAGGGTCTCAAAAAACGACCCTTGTTTACCTCAAAGTAATCAGCCTGGAGAGTCCCTTACGATATTGAATTGTTTTAATAAACATGCTTGATAAGTTCATTTTAGTGCTCTAAAACATTCAAAATAAATAATGAATCTGGTATAGTTGTGTAAATGTGACGGATAGTTTTCAGAGATATTACTTTACGCCAATGTTTATTTTTGAGATGTTGTATGGGGCAATTTCATATAACAGAAAAATGTACTTTTTAAAATATTTTGATATGAGCAAAAGCGTGACCCACCACAATTTTTTTAGGAGTGCATTCTAATTTACTCTCTTCATGTGCGGTGGAAAAATTGGGATGGTTCATGCTTTTGCTCACACTTTTTTATCACTCTGAAAATATGAAAATGTAGGTTTTTCGAAGATATTGTAAAATAGGTAAACTTTGAGGTCTTCAAAGAGGAAAAAAACCAGCACTAAAACATAAAAAAGGCATATGGAGGTAATTTCAACAATTTATTTAGCATTTTTTATGCTAAAATTATCATGTTGTAGAACTTTGAATATCATGAAATTTTGTGGGCCAATAAGGGCCCTTATCATACCTTGTCCTTTATTGGGAATTGCTTAATAGTCCTTGAAATCTTTTACTGTGGACTTGATCCATTCGAGGTGTATCCAGAAAACTTTAGTCACATGATCAACTTGTTTCGTTTTGACAAGTCGATAAAATAAGCAAGCTTCTGTGACTTTTGTCAAGAGAAACAAGCGCGTGTAATCTCCATAACTAAAGACTTCACTGTTACGCAAATTTGCCAAGAACTTATTAATAAACCCTCGTTATACACCAGGCAAATAATTTTGACACCGGTTACTGTCACAAAGATCAAGATACAATACCAATGGAAAAAAAGATAGTATCCTGTATTGATTTGTTTAGGGATAACATGTGTTTTGGCTTACAAGGTGGCGCTGACATTGGAGTAATATGTAACTGTTCCATTTCCATGGCAATGGTTGTTTGGCCACGCACTTTATGACATCCTCTGCACCCTTGCATCACATGACCACCAAGAAAATCATGTACTGTTATATGGCAGTGTGATTCATTGTGAAACAGTGGTGTATTTTTATCAATTCACTCAAGTGAAGATAACACAGAGGGCAGTGTTGTGCTCGTTGCTATATTTAGTCGTTTTTCGGGTCAGTGGTGATCTGGAATGTTCTGGAAACGTGTAGATTATCTTTCCAGAGATTTCTGGAAGCTTTATGAGGCGATGTAAGGGAAAAACGCGTGCCTCCATAATCCCAAACTGCACCAAGATGATCTACCAAACTTCAGCAAGTATCAATAATTTTTGTGTCTTAGACGTTTATCAGAATGAGATCAATGTCAGGTGTGGGTATTTCTTAATGATACCGATATTTCAGATAAATGTGAAATATGGAAAAGGGTGGTGCTTAATTTTATTACATGTATTTATAACAGTGAATGAGTTTAATGTTAAACCGCTTTCACCAAAATCAGTTGACACAATAGGATAACACTTTTTGTCCCATGTGGGGGGTGTCAAAACCGGGCCGACGGCGTGACGAGCGAACACTATGCACATTAGGCTGTTCATTGTGACTTTCGTTTGAAATAGTGTGTGCACATGATGTAAAATCTGATTGTGTATCTCTACAGGCTGTTTATGTTTATATGCAGTGTTACCAACAAGAGTGCAAGAAGTGTAGAACTCCCAGCCAGCCACGTACGGTAGAGCCTATCGTCTGCTCCCAGTGCAAACGGACAAAATGCACATGCACACGGGAAGACGGAGAGAAGACTCGGGATGTTAACCCCTCAAACCTCATAGGTCTGACCTCTGCGAAAGGTGCAAGTCTGGAAAAAAATGTCAATGGCGATAGTGAAGCCATGAAACTTAACAACCTGTAGCACCAGACATAACTGACTTGCTTACTTTCCATAAAGATTCCATTTTCTGTGATGACTAACGTTTTGGATAATTGCAAGAACTGTAATTAGAAAAGTATTAAACCTTGTCGCCCACCCCATGGGGTTCTGTATGTTTTATACGCGTGTATATGTAGGTACACAAGGCGATATCGAGCCAGCTGTAGTCACATTGAACAAATAAATTCATTGTGACTGGTTGGTTTGGTTGTTGTTTAACGCCGCACTCAGCAATATTCCAGCTATATGGCGTCGGTCTGTAAATAATCGTCTGTAAACAATCCAGTGATAATTAACATGAGCATCGATCTACACAGTTGGAATACAATGGCATGTGTCAACCAAGTCTTTTACGACAAGCATCGGTTACTGAAGACCAATTCTAACCCGGAGTTTTACGGGTCTCATTGTAGCAAGAACATTTCAGCACTATCGGGGGACACCAGGACTTCACAAGTATACCTGACGATAGATGAATAACATCTGCAATATTCTTTTCAGTGACTAACAACTAGTCCATGAAATTAACATATTTTATTAGTCTACATTATCTACATAAGATATAAAAGATATAACGGAGGCCCAGAGATTTTCATAAAAGTCCCGGATCTGTAGGCATGCTAACCAGGAAGCAACGAATACTCACTCTCGCTTAGCTACTTTGAACATGTGTAGGATAATTCATATTGCCATAACGACTACTTCATGTAGTACTTTGTATTCGGTTTTATGTCACTTTGACACACGCCACGGGATTATATAACCCCGGTTAACAAAAAGAAATGATAAAGCTAAAAGTATGATAAAACTTTACACCAGGCAGGTTTCCACAGAGTTCAGTTTCTGTTCAGCGATGTGTTTTTTATTCATTTTCCTGCTTTTACTTTCGTTTTCCATATATGTAATTTTATATTTTTGTGTATGGGTGTAAACAAACTCCATATTTGGCATGCAGGGGATATTTATATACTTCCCGGAATACAACACTCAAAGGTTGGCAGTTTGCCAGGGTGTCCTGTCGCTGGGGTAGATATTGTGGTTCATGACAGCCTGGTTCCCTGGGTCCGTTGCGCCTGCGCTACGCTCCGACACTGACCCAGGCAACCACTGCCGAATGGCGGCCTTCACTGCAGGGAGACGCGCCATACATTTACCATAGAAAAATCCGAGAACGGGTGGTAAGAATTTTTTCATAGCATTTTCATCGATACTATGGCAAAGTATACGTCACCAGAACAACACCCATCGTTACCTTCAATGTACGAACACGTTATTTAAGCAGTTTCGAGACACGAAAATCGTCGTTACATGGGCGATGTGTAAACAATGACACACACTGTATTTTCATCACCGACATGTGCTTTGATATTTCGTGTCAGCTCGCTATTGCCACAAAATCGTACACATAAAACATGGATCTGAACGACCAAATTAATTGAATATAGTTAGCATCTTTATTTTAGCAAATTTGATGACGAAAATATCGCCGATTATGTCCCGTATCTTCTATCGTTTCAGGGTAGGTTTAGCGCATATATTTTTCGATCGCCTTGTGAAATTACAAGGTAAAGCGTGTACATCATATGGATGATGTTAATGACAGGGTTTGTCATTCTGATATTTAGCCTCTACAAAACAACGTAAAACAGTTAACATATATACCAATATCATTCAGAAATGTTTATGATTATAATAAACATGGTGAATCAAATGATCTATATACAAAAATACACACACATATACAGCTCAAAACAATGAATTTGATACTTTATATTACTAAACTGAATATATATAAATACATGGTATGATCAGTATGTTAATACATTGGTATAACATGTATGTGAAGAAGAACTTTTTAGACAGATGAACATTCCACTATTTGTGAACTGTTGAATTAAGGGTGATTTTTACCAATGAAACCTGTCATGAGAACTGTAGTTTTTATGGCTTTAAGCCAGTATCAGAGTACACATTTGCTGTACATTGATTATTTTGAGCATGGTAACCCTGGTGTTATGAGAATACATCTGATACAAATCACCTGATATCAGCAATTTTTCAGTCAGATATCACTTAACTAGTTTGGTTAAATGCTGCTATGGACTGTTTGCTTTACTTTATTATACTTTACAGCAGTGCATGCATACATAATTCAACACACCATCAGTGATTTTGTTTTGAATTTTGGGTAATTTGCTTTGTACTTGTTGATCAGTTCACTATTGTGATTATATTTTTTTTAAATCAAAAGTTTATGGTGTGTATCTTGAAATTGTGTCTTTATATAGATATTGGGTATTGTGTTAACACCTAAACGTATTTGGACTGAAGCACTAACTACTCTTGGTGCACAGAGTAAGAAGGCTGTTATGGCATTGTACAGATGTCAAAAGAAGTTGAAAATAAACCATGTCAAGAATAATTATGATATTTTTATATTTTTTTTATCACTTTATTTCTTTATAATGGTTACCTAATTTATGCATTTGTGGTACATGTAAATATTATAAAACAAGGACATGGGTGGTAGATAATTCGTAGGCTATAAGAATACATTTGTTGTTGCAATTTATGTGAAGAGGTTATGTCAAGATGACCAAAAGGTGAAGAATTTACCATAGTTGCAGTGCGAAAAGGCAGCACGTTTGTCAATTTCATACAAGGTGTGTAGATAATGTTTTAATCCAGCAATCTGTGGATGCGAATTGAAACATCTCTTTGCATATATATAGTATTTTGTTGCGATGATAATAAGGTTTAGTACATCATTTCTTTTTTCTTTATATCCAAAGATGATATGTTTTGCATCCAGAATTAATTTTGTGCCTGTTTCTTGTTCAATCCAGGCTTTTAGTTGCTGCCACAACGTTTTCACATGTACACATTCACAAAATACGTGGATAATTGATTCCATTTTAACCTTACAGAATAATTATGATATTTAATGCTATGATTGTTCCTATAGTGTGTAATGGTGCAGAAGTATAGGGGACCTCATACTGTAAAATTATTGAAGACGTATAGCATAAAATGTGTAAATGGTTTCTCAAAACAGCAAACAATGTTATGGTTTGGGGAGAATGTGGCAGAACCCCTCTCCAACTTGTGCACACCACAAGCCCTATAAGGTATTGGTGCAGGCTACTGTATTTGGATGAACGCAAACTGCCTCTCCAATGCCGGACCTCAAATTAAATATATTCTTTTTAGACTCATTCATATTTAGAATATTCTGATTTGAATATGTGCGGTTAGCACAAGATGTGAAGATATTTATTCGCCCGATTCCTTCTATTAACAGCATTTTAAATCACTGTTAAATGTGGAAATGAAACTTATACTCCATATCCCCGTACACCTAAGACTAGCCATGGCTCTTTTCAGATGTAGTAGGTTTAAACTTCCAGTCGATTTTGGAAGATACACAAATGTCCCCCTACACTGAATGGCTGTAAATAGTGTATATTAAGGGGAAGATATTTTGTTGAAGATGAGTTTCATATGCATGTATTGCTTGTATGTGAGCATTACTCAGCCATAAGAATTATGTATGGGTCTTAAACAATTATATATAAAGTCCCACACTGTAACATTTTTTATCAGATCGATGATCATGCTGTTGATCTCTGGATTGCCTGGTCAAGACTCGATTATTTACAGACCGCCGCCATATGGCTTGAATACAGCCGACGAATTACACGTCATCATATTTGCTAAAATAAAGATGCTAACTATATTCAATCAGTGTGGTCGTTCAGATCCATGTTTTATGTGTACGATTTTGTGGCAATAGCGAGCTGACACGAAATATCAAAGCACATGTCGGTGATGAAAATACAGCGTGTGTCATTGTTTACATATCGCCCATGTAACGACGATTTTCGTGTCTCGAAACTGCTTAAATAACGTGTTCGTGCTTTGAAAGTAACGATGGGTGTTGTTCTGGTGACGTATACTTTGCCATAGTATCGATGAAAATGCTATGAAAAAAATTCTAACCACCCGTTCTCGGATTTTTCTATAGTAAATGTATGGCGCGTCTCCCTGCAGTGAAGGCCGCCATTCGACAGTGGTTGCCTGGGTCAGTGTCGGAGCGTAGCGCAGGCGCAACGGACCCAGGGAACCAGGCTGCATGTTCCCTTCTTTTGAAAAGTAAAAATCAGAAATGACTACTGTATGGTCACATGATTGTCATATTTGACAAGTGAAACCTAAGCTTCATAGTGTTGAATAAGCTGGATAGGAATAGTTATTTTGCTTTAAAAATCAGTGCCATCATTTCTTTAACAATATTTCCTTTAATAGTAAATACAAATGATTATGATATCACTAAATCAGTTACCAGATGAACCTTCTCTAAATATGGATTGGTCTTCCCAATTATTTTAGCCGAACATTTCCACAGCTTCACATCTTAGTTCTGGAATTGGCTGGCGCTTAACTGTTTCTTCTGGGTATATACTTTGTTGAAGCCACCACCGATACCACTGGGACAAAACCAGGGTCACAATCAAGCGAAAATTCTAAACAGGATAACAAAATTATTTTCACGTTTCAGAGCTGCTTCTTGATCAGGTATGCTCATTCGACACAATGTGTTGCTCATCAAACATATAAGTACTAGTATTTGAACGATTATGAAAAATGTTGTACAAAAAGAGTATGAGAGAAAACAGTCTCGATTATCGGTCCAGGGGCGGATACAGCTCTTTGAGAAAGATGGTGGGGTGGGGGTGCACAGTTCATTTCACCCCACCTCGCCATCCCTTTCTGGATTCGCCTATGCTGTCGAAGTAAATTCCACCCGGCGTATAAGGCAAAATAGCGATGAAAATTATATGAACGTCAAACTGAAGAGTCCGTGTTGACATCAAGTGTTTGCCAAAACTGTAAACTGAACCTGTCATGAAACGCACTGCGACTCCCAAAGAAATTTATATTGACAAAGTTACTGAATATAATATTGCCTGACACTGCAGGTATCATTCGTCACCCCTTACCGTAACCTGCTATTCGGCTTGTCCCGGAATAACACGAGTTGGTCACGAATGTGCAGTATACGAGTCGCGCGACGTTGAACATGTACACCCACACAGATCATTGATTTCCTTTATCACAATTCACGGAGAATAACATCACAATCACATTCGTAGAAATGTGTATATTCTTGTTTCGATTTGGCTTCCCGGTAAGCATTACGAGTATATATGATCGTTTAGGTGGTCAGGGACACGCAGTTCCACACATCACCTCCGTCAACGTTTGTCTGCCGTGCACGATGTCGAACCGACGCTATGGTTACTTCGAGTGTGACTGTGGGTCAACCTGAGAGTTCCCATGTCTACTGTTACGGTTTCACGGTAAGCTGTCAGTTGGATTCATCCACAGAGGACTTTTCTAATGATTTAAAATGCAACTTACCTTTCTGGTTTATGAACCTCGTTAAAAAGGGGCGATGGGGTAGCTTTATGGTTAATGCATCCGCTCGTCTCGCCGAAATTCCGGGTTCGATTCCCCATATGGGTACAATGTGTGAAGCCCATTTCTGTTTCCCCCGCCGTGATACTGCTGGAATATTGCTAAAACGGCGTAAAACTCTCACTCACTCGTTAGAAACAGCAAGTTTTATCGTGACCTTGTTCACTCTGCTTGCACTTGTTCGTATGTTATTGGAACGTAATAGTTATACAATGAAACCCTTCACGTTGTAAATCAGGACGAGTGCACTGTTATACTCCGGGCTAACTGTGTCCTCTATGGACACGTTAACAACATAAATTATGAATCTCCTTTTCATTTGCATTTCATATTTTCCTGTGTACTACTGTATACTGCACTGAGCGTCGAATCTCGCTTCAAAGCAGTTCTATGTATCCTACTTCTCGCCAAGCAGCGTGCGTGTGTTGAACAGAGCGCTCTTATTGTGTTATTGAAAACAAGATCCAGTGGAGATCGCGACCATTCGATATCATACCATTAACAGAAGGCATCACTTCTTCTCCCTTCGTTTTCCACCTCACCTCCCATTATGTAATGTTGGTGTAAACAACTCCATATATGGCATGTAACAGGTATAATATATCTGACTCAGTCCTTAAGTCATCTGGGACGGTGGAGTAGCCTAGTGGTTAAAGCAGTCGCTCGTCACGCCGAACACCCGGGTTCGATTCCCCACATGGGTACAAGGTGTCAGATATAAGCTAAACCAACGTCTTCGCTTCATATATTCAACGACAATGTGTGAAGCTCATTTCTGGTGTCCCCCGCCAAGATATTGCTGGCATATTGCTAAAAGTGGCGTAAAACTAAACTCCCTCACTTATAATGCCAATCGTCTTTCAGTGTTGGTGTACTTTATTTTGGTCGTCAGTTTTCTTAAAACAAATATGCAAATATACGTGTAGTTGTTTCACTACAGCACAACTCTCTCACTCACCTTATGTCCTCCACAGCCGAAGTACGAGCAGGATTGCAGGTCTTGTGACACCCCTTGCATGCCATACCGTGTAGAGAAGCTGATCTGCTCCAAATGCAAACAACATGATTGCATATGTTCTAAGCAAGACCGCCTAGAGAGGACCATCGACCCCAACAAACCACATCGATCTGATCTCTGTCACAAGTGCCAGTCAGGCAACCCCTGCATGTAGACCGACCTCGCACATACAGATCCCTGCTTGTAGACAGACCTGGTACATACAGATCCCTGCACAGACCCCTGCCAATAGACGAACCTCGCATAAACAGACCCCACCAGTAGACCGACCTCGCACATACAGAGAACCAGTGACCTCTGTGAGAGAAGACCTTAAGTGCCCTGCTATTTAACCTTCTGTACTTGTATTATGTATGCGCAGCTCATACTGATGGTCAAAAATAAGGGAACGCAACACAATATCGAAGAATCACTTAGTGCTGATCACAGTAGAAAAGCAACATGTACAAATTATGTTGCAGGGCGAATTTCTCCCTTATGACTCCATTGTCAAATAGTATCTTGCCATGTTCTCATACTTACAACCGTTCCCTTATTAATTCCATCAGTCTATACACACTCTCATTAGCCAGTATTTGTTAACAATCTATGTACCGCTACCTTTAAAAGATATACTTGTCCTGTCTGCACTTCATTATCCAACAATATGTGTTATGCTTCTGTGATAATTCCATGAATAAATCTGAATGGCAAATTTTGTCCTGCTTTTATAAAACCTGATTTCATCAACATAACCGATCCATTAACACGAATAGCATTTTCCACCGGGATCTGCTTAAATGAGTGAGTCGGTTTGAGTTTAACGCCAATTTGAACAGGTCAGCATTTTATTGATATCACGTCGAAAAGTGTGTTTGAAACGAACGATCATAATCAAGCAGTAATTCAAACATGCATTGGATCCTGGCACAGCAAAGAGATGTAACCAGACACAGGGTCTATTGTTATCAAATATGAAGAAGTGGAAGCCATTCACATTAGAGAAGAACTACATTAATGAACTGAGATGTCCGTCTCTGAGGTTGGACTGTTGATAAATCGGTTACATCCCATTCTGCCCACAGTTCCAATTTGCCTACATCCCAGTTTGCCTACAAAACTTACTGTAGACAGAATGGGAAATGACTTTTAACCTTTAAAATAATGGAACAACCCATTTACCAGTCACTGAAGGGTATGTTGTTGGATTTGGAGAAAGTGTAATTACTGCAGTTTTACTTAAATTAAACGACCTGATGATATTGGTTATAATGAGGGGCACGTTAACGTTTCAAAGCTGTGGTTGGTACTTGTACCTACAAATACATGTATAGCATACATGTATTTTGAACCTTATAATTACAAGTCATTTTACCCGTATTGCCTACAATTGACTTTTGTCAGGTTCATTTTAGTAAGGGTAGAATAGGTCAGCACATTAACCTTACTTCCTGATCACTGGACCGTATCATGTTGTTTTAACCTGTCGGCAGAATGAGAAGACACCGATAAATCTCCACCGACCAGTACATAATCTCTCAATGACGTCATGACTCTATCGTCATTAGAGGTAACAATACATGGTGGGATCATCTTTAAATGACATAAATACGTGGGGCGAGACTTTGCATGTCTCTATAGCATTGTCATACAATAATAACAGTTTGTACTGTTGTAAGACTGCACAGTCCAGGTGAAACCTAAAAAACAAGCTGGCTTGTTGTCACCTCGACAGTGCAGGCAGAAAGAGCCATTGTACAGATACAATAATGAAAATACATAATAATCCGACTGATATGTAGGATGTGACGACAATACTTAATAGGGGCAACAATATTATTAAAGGACAAATAAATACAATATTGGTACAAAAGTATATGTGCATATATGAGCACACAATCCCAAAGAGTATTTACATAAATACCTTTAATTACATAACCCAAAAGAATCGTCACACCCCTCCTATCAGAGGATTTACATAGGGCCCCACCTGAGGTGAGGTGAAAGTCACATTAACTTTAAGGGCCAATGGGAAGTATAAAAATACATATATATACACAAAGTGGAGCAATATCTATACCCAACACATTTGGAATATATGATACAGAAAACCGGTTGATTGATATACACAATAGCCACGACAGGACACCTGGCCTGTACGACACATGTGGCTAAGGGAAATGGGATATGACTGCCTTGAGATTTCCTTGCTGCCTACCCTCTGAACTGCTGTGAATGCCATGACATTGAAGAATAGCCCGGATTGAGCATGAGGAACACTCCACCACTCCAGATTCTGGAGCATCGAGGGGTGTGCTCCGAGCAATCAACCAGTCTATTCTTTCAGTGTCCTGTTTAAACTCTAGATCTTCTTCTTGAGCTTCCTGTGGCAAGCGGCTTAAAGCATCTGCATCAGTCATCTGCACTCCTGGTCGATACTTGATGTTAAAGTTGTAGGCTGCTAGGGCTGCTAACCATCGGTACCCTATGGCATCAACTTTCGCCGACTTCAGGACATATGTAAGGGGATTGTTGTCTGTTACGACTGTGAATTCCGAACCATACAGGTAGTCATGGAACTTGTCAGTAACAGCCCACTTCAATGCTAGGAAATTCGCGCTTGTCTGCTGGATAATTTGCTCACTTTTAGAAAGACCTCGGCTTGCATAGGCGATGACTTTCAGGCTACCGCATTGTTGTTGGTAAGGACAGCTCCGAGTCCAGTGCCACTGGCGTCAGTGTGGAGTTCCAAAGGCAGACAGGTCAGCATAGCCTAACACAGGAGGAGTGGTTAGTTTTTCCTTGATCTTCTCAAAAGCTGTTTGGCATTTCTCTGTCCACTTATCCCCAAAAGGCGTCTTCAGGGTGAGGTTGTTCTTCCCAGGAGTTCTTCCGAGTTTTAGCATGGTCTTCCCTTGTTGGGCCCATTCTTCAAAGGCTACCTCTCCGGCTTTGATGGGTTTTGTACCAGAGAACGTCTTCAGTCTGAGGTAGCTGGATAAGGGACGATCCCAATTCACCAGCACCTGTTGTGGGTCTGGGCGTACAGTGCTACCGCTACCCACAACCCCAGCACTCGAGCTTGCAACATTAGAGTCGCTAGCGGCCGGGGATTCTGTGTGGGCAGCAGCAACATCGTTAGCCGCCAGAACAGGTGTGGGAGTTGTTGGATTTGGTTTGATGGATCCGGTGCTGGTCGTAGCTGATGGATGCTGTCGTAATAGCAATTGGAACTCTTCCAGCATCTGCGACTTTATCGCCTCCATCATCAGGGCTGTCTTCCTGTCCAGGGTCTGATCTACTGCCCTGGCCACGACGTCTTCTAGAGAGGATCCTTCCCGAACCAAGTTCACTTTCATAACTTGATACTCCTCCTCTCTGATGAGTACAGTGTCCCCAAGCTTCAGAGGGACTTGAGGGCTCGTGAACTCCACGAGGTGCGGCTGATAAATAAAATCAAGCACCTGGAGAACCCGCACCTTCCCATAGCAAGGAGACAACTCCTCCTCAACCGACTCCGTTTTTGTTTCCTCCGGGAGCCCAATTATTCCAATTGATCGCTTTGGGTCAACTTTCATTGACAACATAGTGTCCAAGAGCTCAGAGTTCGTGAGCGAGGACATGTTGACAAAAATAGGAGATGAGGTTGAGGTACTGAGAATTCTTAGTTGACTAAGGCAACTAAGGGTAGGAGTATAGATACAAAATTATGCCTTATGTGCCAACGAGTGTATATCTTTGACCGTTGAGGAGTACTATGAGCGCTTGCGACACTTTGCCCCACGTTGGGCGCCAATGTAAGACTTGGGTAATTGCTGAGGTTGCGTAACAATTACGTCTCACGGTAAAAGGGATGGGCAAGTGTGTCTATTGCGCGAAGTGCTCCAGTCAAAGATGACACAACACAAAAAGACAGTAATAATATGTATTGAAATAAAAGTCTTGGTAACAGAGTTGCAAGTTCCGACTGCACAGTCCAGGTGAAACCTAAAAAACAAGCTGGCTTGTTGTCACCTCGACAGTGCAGGCAGAAAGAGCCATTGTACAGATACAATAATGAAAATACATAATAATCCGACTGATATGTAGGATGTGACGACAATACTTAATAGGGGCAACAATATTATTAAAGGACAAATAAATACAATATTGGTACAAAAATATATGTGCATATATGAGCACACAATCCCAAAGAGTATTTACATAAATACCTTTAATTACATAACCCAAAAGAATCGTCACACCCCTCCTATCAGAGGATTTACATAGGGCCCCACCTGAGGTGAGGTGAAAGTCACATTAACTTTAAGGGCCAATGGGAAGTATAAAAATACATATATATACACAAAGTGGGGCAATATCTATACCCAACACATTTGGAATATATGATACAGAAAACCGGTTGATTGATATACACAATAGCCACGACAGGACACCTGGCCTGTACGACACATGTGGCTAAGGGAAATGGGATATGACTGCCTGTTGGATGATCATACTAGTCAATATGAGGCTAGCTCCAACAGAATGTCGATACACCCAGTAGGTACACCACTTGGGGCTACCCAGGATAAACACCTAATTGTAGTAAGTAAATTGACAATATGTAATAAACGGATATTACATAATTTATATTACTACGATATGTAGGTATATTATTGGCCATATAATATAATACATTATATTATTATTGAATAAACTGTGACTTCACTTTCACATCAAGTGGGGGAACATACTAAAATATGATTGATATAGTTGCATGGTACCGGTAGTCAATGCTATGTTGAGATAACCATGAAGCAGACGACGGACCCTAGTTTTGTTTACATCCGGTGCAGCCATTTTGTAATGGAGCCGGACGGTAGCCGGAGAATGCCGAGGAGAGCCGAAGACAGCCCAGGCTGTGTGCTGCTCAGTGGAGAGGTCAGCACTGGTCAGTGAGCATGACCGCCACTAATTGGTTCCAGCTGATACCGTGATACTCTAACTGACCACATGGTTTGGAAACCGGGACAGTGATACAGACACTTTTTAAATTTAGATTAAAATGGCAAAAAGAGTTCTGTTGTTAACAGCAACAAGTTGTAAACAAATGGAATTTTGAATTTAGCAATGAGCTGGAGACAATTTTGACTGGCAGGTCAAATAAGCAAATTAATGCTAAACACACAAAGTACCTTACTAAAATGACTTTTTAGATGAAAATATATTACAATGAGTACATGTCATTTATTCTTGCCATCGAGTGCACGTTTGGACAGTCACAGATGAGTGACCTTTCGCCAGTTTGGCACAGCAAGAATAATTGATGACAGTGACCCAACACTTGTTTTAATAGTAATTTATCAAATTAAATAATACATTAATTTAAAACCCGCAGATAATTACTTATCCTGCTAACAACATAACTATACATAGGAATTTAATACAGAAGACCCAGTTGCAATATCGAAGCAAACTGAGGTTCTTACCTAAAACAAAGCTGGCTTGTTGTCACCTCGACAGTGCAGGCAGAAAGAGGAAGATTTCAGGCTTGGGGGTCCCACGCTCCCTCTTGCCCCTGTCATGTGACAACATAGCCCCTGGGGATTGGCTAAAAAATTGTTGCTATGGAAACAATGGCACCAGTGCCTTGAGCCCCAGAACCCTATCAGATAACTGGTAAAGGGCAGGATATTGGGTTACTTGTGCAAAAGACTAGGACAAAACATCCAGCCT